TTTAATGTAAGATAGGGTGTGTTTATGAAGTCAATTTCATGTAGGGTATTTTTATGATTCTATAGCTATAAATGGGTTTCTTTATAGTTATTTATATACATAAAGGGTATTCAAACCGTGCATTTTTAATGTTGAAAGAGGTTACAAATTCGGATATGACATATCTAAATATATGTATAAATAAGATTTCCTATATTTGGTATATGTTTGTCGCTGGCGTTGTTTGTCGTAGCCCTATCATAGCCTGCGTTAGTTCACTCATGTCTCTCTTTCAGTCCCAGATTGGTTTTCTTCTCAGTCCGTTGCTGTGCTCTCTTTGTTCTTGTTGTGGGGCTGGTTTGTTGGCGTCGCTTGGGGCTTGTGCTACGGGCTTTATGCCCTAACGTGGGACTCTCGTCTAGTCCCTTCTCGGAGTCGGCTGTTGGTGTTCTCGTTTTCTTTTGGCTACTGGTTTGTGTGGTGGTGTCGCCCTCTACGCGAGCCAATTGCAAGGGTTTTGGTTTCGATCTAGTTCTGGTCTTCTCCTTTCCTCCATCGTTGATTCAGGTAGTGGTGCCCTTGGACAATATGGCCTTTGTGCGTTCTAGGATCTTCGGTGTTGGGCATGATTTTAGGTGGCTAGGGTTGTTGGTTGCGCTCTCTATTGCTCCCTTGACAGGCTCTGTCGTACTAGGGCTCTCGGATCCGGGTGGTTATCAAGATTTTATTGTTGTTGAGCAATTTATCTGCAACCACACACTCAAACTCATCCTAAATCACCTCCATATCCTTCATACATCTTTCTAGAAGTGGGGAAGCTTTTGGAGAAGCATTAGAAGTGGAGAAGCACTTGGAGAAGCCTTGGACACCACCAGAACTTCAGAAAAAGGGTTTTTCTACTCTTATTGTATTCATTATGTTTTCTCATTTCTGTTCACGTCTCTTTTCCATTATGAGTAGCTAAATCCATATCTAGGGCTTCGATGTAACCTAACATGAATATTGTGGGTTTATAAGTTTGGAGTTTCAAGTTTGATTCATGATTCATGTTCTTATTCATTATGCTTATAAGTTAACATGCTTGTTTGGATGATTGATCACCATTAGAACTTGTTTGTTACCTATCTTGGTTTGAATTAAGAGTATACACCATGCTTTAATTCGAATTGAACTATGAAATGGAAGAGTATGTATGGACATTCGACAACAGGGATTAGATACATACTTGGTTGTTTAAAATGTTCTTGTATGCTTAATGGGTTCCTAATGCTTAATTTTAGGTTAGACAACAGATGATCAAATTAGGGAATTAGGAACACAAGGTTAGGACCAAACACCATGGCCTAATCATACTTTAGCTAGAATCAATCTTTGAATCTGAATTAGACTTGTTACTTGAATCTTTATAACCCAGAATTGAATTGTTATGGTGATTCGAATGCCCTAGTCTCAAAATCTGTTTTCCAACTCTTAAAACCACTCTTTGTTACATTTGTTTACTTGTTTTTGTTTGCAATTTCATTTTGCTTCTTTTGTTCAACAATCACAACCACTCTTGTTTTAAATTCTGTTTTAGACATAACCTCCTACTTTCTTGAATTTGGTAATCTAAGTACATAACTAGTTTTAACTTCTCAGTCTTCGTGGGTACGACCTCGTACTTGTCTTGCTATACTACTAATTGCCCCGTACAATTGCGAGTTAACATAATATTAACAACAATAGACGAGTTTGTTGCTAAGGTGATGAAGGCTAACCGTGAGGGGTCTCCCAATTCTCTTTGATGTGTTCGCCGAAACGTTTGTGGGCTTGGCATCCGATAAACGTTCCCATTACGATGCTCTTCTATTGGAAGTTCGTCAAGCTAAGAAACCAATTTTGTTGGGGTCTTGTTTGTGGGTTTTTAGTTTATGTTTTGTTGTCTTTTCCCCTATTTTGTTGATTCCTTGCAGCTCTTCTCTACTTTGCGCCGACCGAAAAACTATGTTTGGTCACAGGAGGTTTTCTTTGACAGGTTATGAGTTGATTTCTTCGACAGGTTATGAGTTGAAGTAGGGTGCTTCTCAAGGGTCTTTTTCACTATTTTTTTTTTGTGTTTTCTCCTTCATGTTCTCTCCTGGCTTCTGCTATTGGTATGACTTGTAGTTTGTGTGGGTGTCAAAGGACTATGAGTTTGTTCATAGACATCTTTTTTTGATAATTGGGATGTTCTGCTGTCCTCCCCTAGGGTTTGTCCCATAAGGTTGTCCTATGCATGGACTGAAAAATCGATATTATCGCCGAAATATCGGCGATATATCGGAATTTTTGAACAGCGATATTTTCAGCACAAACCAAGCAGATGTCGTCATAATGTCGAAATTATCGCCGAAATTTCGGCGATATTATCGTGAAATTTCTAAGCTGAAATGGTGATAATTTCGAGATATTATCGAAATTATCGATAATATCGCCGATATTTCCCTGGCAGCCATGGGAGACGACCATGGCAGATCTGGAAATGGCTCAGACGACCATGGCAGATCTGGAAATGGCTTAGAGGTCCCTGGCAGCCATGGGAGACGCTTGGCAGCCATGGGAGACGACCCCATGGAGAAAAAGATGCAAGTTGCGAGGGAGAAGAAAAATGGAGGAAGAAGAGAGAGAGAGAGGGAGGAAGAAGAAGAAGATAGTGATTGAGAGGGAAAAGAAAGAGAGAGGAAGAAGAGAGAGAAATGGAGGAAGAAGAAGCCCGAGTTGGCAAGCGCAAACACAAATTTTTTTTTTATAAAAAACGAATTGATCTGTTAGGGTTTTTAAAAATATTTTTACAATTATGTTGGTTAGACCTATAAATACTAAAAGTATACATAAATAATGTAAGTTATCACTTACCATAGTGGCCTCTGAATTGAAAAGAAGTTTTTGGTCAAGGGTTCAAGACCCATTGTGCTCTTTTTGTTGTAATATTCCAGATATTTTATTATTTGGGTTATTTTTTGGTGTGTGTATTTATTATTTGGGTTGGTGTTATTATTTCGATTAAATTTATGGTTTACATAATGGGCTCAATTTATTGAATGATGTTTTCGTTAATTGGAATAAGTTTGGCGTGTTTTTTTAATTTTTAGCATTGTTTTTATCCTTTAAAAAAATTCAGAATTTTAACACTAGTATTATGACCCCATGGGGTAACAATCACAGTGTTTGCTAGCTCGCTATATAATCAACTTAAATCAGTTAAATCCATCATGCAATGCATTTCCTTCTAATTTTTTATGATAAACTAATAGATAATTGACTAAATAAACATCATGCAAAGTTTCAATAAAAATTTCCAAGTTTTTCTTACAATTTCCGTGGTTTTTATTCAATTTTTATTGATATCGATAATATCCCGATATTTCCATCGAAATTTCCGTGTTTTTGGCCTACCGATATTTCCGATATCACCGATATTTTAGACCTTGGTCCTATGAAGGTTTTAATGAGGTCACTGTACCGTGTCTCTCTTTGTATGCCTTTGATTCTATGAATGAATTCTCTTTCTTTAAAAAATAAAAATAAAAAATTTCCAAATTCGAGTCAACACATTCCAATTGATACCCCAAAAAATAAAATAAAAAAGTAAAAATAGTGTGTGAATGCATCCTCCTATTGGATTGGGCCACCAGAAGCTATTGAAAATGTCAAACTACATGTGAACAAAATAAAATAATAAAAAAGGTGCGAGACTAAGAAAGAAAAAAATAAAATTGTCATGTGCTTATGAATAAAAAAAATTCTCAAGCAGATGATGGGGTCTTTTTTTTCCCCTGTATTTTCCATTTCCAAGAAATTCAGGAGAGAGAAGCATCAAACATGTTAACAATTAAACAATTATTATGAGAATTTGCTGTATGAGGGAGCCTAGGCCAAGTGACCAGGCCCAAGACCTGCTTGTTGGACCCTGTCTCACCTAAATGCACGGAAGCTACCAAGTTTTCCGAACCCGTGTCCACCTTCTGGACTGGGATGTCAAACAAAAGTTTAAAGCAAGGCACAAGAATTGACTTTGAAATTTGAGAAAGTTTTCTGATCGCTCGTATCATTTTCCCAATCATTTACAGTTCAATATTAAATCATGCTTCCCTGTTGCATGATGCCACCATCTAATTATTATGAACTTTGCTTCTGTTTTTTCTTCGGGTGTAATTACTATGAACATTTTCAGCTCCACATCATCAGATGAAGAAAAATGTTTGTGCCAAATGTCATGATTATTTATCTGAATACAAATCCAACTCGTTAGTAATCATTGATTTCATTATTTCGGTCACCCATGTTTACACTCTTCAGTTTATTTTCGAGGACAATTTCCATAGAATCGAATCTAGACATATACTTCAGTTTTTTTTTCTTCTAAACAATGCAAATATATCATGTAGCATGAATGAAGAGTGGTGTTTTTTCTTGTTCTAACTCGTGTCGTGTTGTTAAACTATCAATCTGAATCACATATTCAAATAAAAGTTATATAATCTAACTTAAAATCGAGAACATTAAATTTCATGATAGAAGAATTTTTCTGAATATAATAAGCTGGGTGTTCTCAGTCTTTCTAAGAGAGTAGTCATGCTGGTTAATGACTAGTTGTTGTCCTTGATGTCATTGGATCATATTCGGAAAAATTATGGCGGTTAAAAGAGGCTATAGAAAATTTATTTTTGAAAGTAATTCTCTCTAGATCGTTTCAATTTTTCGGCTAGCTCATGTTACTAGATGGTTCCCTTTACAGTCTGTGTCAACAAAGCATTGAGGAGATGCGGGTCTCTTTCTACGTGTTTCTAGCTCTGATTGTCTGACCAGTACGTTCCGTCTTGGAAATTAGCAAGAGACTGCCGTGCCCAAAAGGGCAAGGATTTTACCAGTTCAAAGTCACAAAACCCAGACAGCAAGAGGAAATTTCATGTCCTCTGTCTGGGGCAAACAAGCAAAGGGTATAAAAGCTTTGCAACAAGGTAAGACTTTTGCTAACTTTTCTTAGTGGATGCAGGCGTTTAGACTTGAGATTCTTAAATTATATTCATATAAAACTAGACATAACATAACAGATGTCGATGCAGAGGTTCAGAGCCACCAGGAAGCTTTTGCCACACCTTTCAGCCAATAAAATCTCTCCAGTGTCTTCTTCTCTTGTGCTCCATCATCCATATCCAAAGAGGCCTTGTCTTGGAACTCATGCACTCTATTCATCTTCCTGGCCCAAAGGTATGGCTTCAATTTCTGCATGTTTAATGGGTCTTTTATTATGCCATTGTTTGTTTCATGCATTTGTGGAACTTGTTTTGCTTGTCTATGGATCTGTGGTGGTCTGGTACCCATGAAGCTCTGCCTTTTGTCAAAAAGGGTGTCTTGTGAAACTTCAGAATTTGAGTTCATAAGAAAGCATAAGAAAAGCGGGTGTCGGACAAGAGAGGGGTCGATACTTATTAAGAAGAGTTTTAAAAAGAAATACGGTTCAAAATTAGGAGAAATTATAGAAAGAGTACGGTTGTATGACCGCGTATACAAGAGAAATCCTGTGTATTAATTTATTGGATTTGAATTGACACTTTGTCGATCATGCCCTGTCCTGCTGCGTGGGGACTCGTAAGCATAAACCACCACTTGAAGCTTGGTATGGACAGCTCATTAAATTGTTGGAATATCCATTAGCCACGTAATCCTCATTAATTATATCAATTATTTCTGGTTCGCTGTCAAATATTTTTTTCCTAGAATGATTTGATCTTGTGGACATAAATGAATTGCCTTGAAATACCTCATAATGGAGAGACCGGGTTAGTTGTCAAGTCTTTGTTTTTCTGTCCTTTAAGAGAATCACCATGGACTCTCTAAACCATCTTTTTAGATAAGTTTAGAGAGGAATTAGAAAAATACAATTTCAACTATACTTCTTATTCATCTTCTAAAATAGGGAGATCTTCAAGAGCTCATAAATCTGAGGCGAGAGAAAAGACTCCTAGTGACTCCTTATAATTTAATGCTGCTTTGTTTTATGCATTGTTTAAACTCTTAATTAATACTGAATATTTTTTATATTATTTTTATAGAGATGGACCAATTGTATTGAATTATAAAATAACTACAGCATTTATGACCTTCTAAACTAGGGAATATGATTGGAGGTTTGAAATACTCATTAAATAAAGCAGCATTAAATTATAAAGAGCCACTAGGAGTCCTTTCTCTCTTATCAGATTTAGGAGCTCCTAGAGGTTTCCCTATTTTAGGAGGTAAATAGAGAGCATGGTTGGAGTTGTATTTTTTTAATTCCTCCCTAAAATTTATCTAAGAAGGTGGTTTAGGAGGCCATTGTGAATGCTCTTAGCATATGCAATTTATGAGTTGCCTTTGTAGACTCGTCGTGTCGTAGTTCATTGTAGGCGCTACATAATTCTTCCTTATTTTCTTCACAGACCCAAAAGATAAACTTCCTTCCTGGATTCAAGACATGTCAGTTTCTACAAGTTCATCATCATCTGTTGCAAAACAAGCCATCATGCCTGAAAATGGAGTTGAGCAGATTGAATTACTCAGTGCAGTTGAGGATTTACATGGAGGAGTTGTTGTAGACTTGAAAGAATCTATGGATTCTGAGGTTTTCAGCTCTTTGCTCAGAGCTTCAATGTCACAGTGGAAGCAAAAGGTACTTTTTGTTGTTGTTGATTTCATCATTTGTATGTATGGTGTTAAGTTTGTTATGGTTGCTGTTATCTCTGAGTCCCTAACTATATATATACTATCTACTTGAATTGTATTTTGTAGGGGAAGAAGGGTGTGTGGATCAAATTGCCCATTAAACTTTCAAATCTTGTGGATGCTGCTGTGAAGGTACAAAAAGATTCCATTGTGCTAGTTCTTTATAAACCCAGTAGACCAAATAATTCGTGACTAAGAGGACAGAACACAATATTTAAAATGATTGGGGAAAATCCTTACAATATCAAGGTATTAAGAGAACAAACATGAAATCTGACTCCTCTAACTCAGGTCGTGAAACTATCCCCGTTTCATTGCTCTCTGATCCCCGAAGACATACGAGAAATTCTGGCTGTAGCCTAATCTGTGTATATTTATTGAGTGCCATGGAACTCATTCATTGTTTAACAAGATAAAGACTTTATTTACTTGGCAAGGGATGCAAATAATTTTATCCAAGTAAATCCAAACAAGTACCTTACTAAAGACAGACCAAATTTTGACATATAATTTCCAACACTCAAGCCTCATTTGTTTTGTTACTTGTGCAGGAAGGATTTAGGTACCACCATGCTGAGCCAGATTACTTAATGCTTGTAAGATGGATTCCTGAAACTATTGATACTCTTCCGGCAAATGCTTCGCACCGAGTAGGTATTGGTGCTTATGTCATGAACAGTGAAAGAAAGGTATGCCTTCTGCATTCTAATAATTTTTTTTTAACTGTTTGAACATTACATCTACAATGAAAGTCAATCTTGTAACACTTGACTTTTGTGTTTGTAATATTTTTAGCGTCTGAAACCATTATTTATAACCTCTTATTTCAAAGTGATTTTCAAACCAAAAGTTGATCTTTCATATACGTAACTGTGGATATTGTTAGCTTCTAGATCAGATAATTATATCCATACACTTGGATAGATCAAACAGTTATAAAGAAGGAAATACCAGATATGCTTTGAAAACTGACAGCCAAAAGAAGAAAATATGGCACCTTGTTTTCTATGAGTTTCCTACAGAACATACAGATAGGTTGAATACTGTGACTAGTTGTATGTACCCTTCATATTTACATTCTCAGTTAAAAGTTCTAAATTAGAATCGATTCATGTTTCGTTTCAAGAACTTATATTTCAGTTGCCATCACTCTAAGTAATTCTATAAGTTTCTTTTGCTAGAATCTGTTTTTACGACATTATGTGTCCATTGTTGTCTACTACTCATGCCTATTAATATCATCCGTTTGGCAGATACTTGTCGTTCAGGAGATCAGTGGCAGATTCAAAGACACAGGTGTGTGGAAGTTGCCGACTGGGGTTGTTAATGAAGTGAGTACAAACAGGAGCGGAACTTTGTCAATTTTTAATAAATATTTCAAATCATCTTCTCACCATGGATAAAATTGTCTCTATCCACAGGGTGAGGATATTTGTGCAGCCGCAGTTAGAGAAGTCAAAGAAGAGACAGGAGTAAGTGATAACTGATGGAATATAGTATCAACGAACAGGCTATCAAATTCCTGTGTAAATCTAATACCATGATTTTTTTTTTCTGCAGATTGAAACAGAGTTTGTGGAGATTTTAGCATTTAGGTGAGAAGCCTGCCTCCAGTTAAAGGAGTCTTCTATGCATTTAGATATCTGTGGTTTGCTTGGTAGCAGCATGCTATGCAGAAGTCATCTTTTCAATTATACCTCTCTTTATATTATCTCTTTCTCTTTCTACAGGCAAAGCCACAAGTCATTCTTTCAAAAATCAGACTTGTTTTTTGTTTGCATGTTAAAACCACACTCCTCTGACATCGAGACGCAAAATTTAGAGATTGCAGCAGCCCAGGTAATTTGTGGAAGACGAAAAGTTCATCATACAATCTAGTTTTGGAATTTGTTTGACATTTGATTGGCAAGAAAACAGAACGTTGCTGTCTTTTCTAAGTGTTACATAGCATCACTCAATGTAGGAGTCAACCGAAAAACATATGATGCTAAACTATTCTAATGTGTAACTTTCTGGGAATTATTTTCAGTGGATGCCAGTTGAGGAATATGCAGCTCAACCCTTCATTCGACAAAACAAGATGTTCGATTATGTAGCAGAGATATGCTTGGCAAAATCAGATAAGGACTATGCCGGTTTTTCTCCAATGCGTACAACAACATCCTCCGGAAAAAGAAGCTACTTGTACCATAACAAACGGGACATGGACAAGATACAGGCTACCGGTGATCATCAGTAGAAAGGCTGATCAAACTCCATAACATAGTTGCAATAACAGTCACTGTGGAATCCTGTTGTATAAAAATCCCTTCAAGTGCCTCCCATTTTACATTGATGTCATGTCAATAATTGATTCCTATATATTGATGTCATTACATTGCTTTATAATTTATACCGAAATTCCAGATACCGTGTGTATACGTCTCATATACGCTAATGTTTTTAATACAACTTGCTTATTCTATTTTAATTTTGTCATTGGTTGGGATCCATGCAAGTTTTGCATCTTACATTCCTGGTTATGTAAGTGGACTTCATTGCCTGAGTGAACTTTAATCAGGAATTAAGAGAAACTGATGAGCTAGACATCCACTGGAGTTTCCTATACATTTCTTTACCAAGCACCTGAGTTTTCAGATAACATAAACTAAATGTCAGGTCACATTTTGACCCAAACGGACACAGCGCTACAACACTACAACACTACAACACTACACTATTATTTTCTGAATATTTATTCTTATCTCTACACAACAATATCATATACTTTTATGAAAGTGACTCAAAACCACCTGCCCCAAATGGTTTCAAAGCATGCTTCCTCCCTCATGCCGCCTTCGACAGTTTTTGAGTTCATCAATTAACTTCTTCTTTTTCAGGGTTTTGTTCTCCTATCCATTTAATAAAATAAAATGACAAATCCTTCCAGGGGAGGTAGAAACATTGATTAGGTCAAAAAAAATATAAATATATAAATGAAAGCTGAAACTAGGGGCGAACAAAACCGACCGTATACAGACCCAAATAGGTCTTCCCTTCGTTTCCATTATAAAAACAAAAACAATTTATCCAAAACCACCTTGAATTTATTATAGGGAAGGCACATCCCATGCCTTTAATCGCAATGGAGGAATGCTAGTTATCTTTTTTCTTATCTTCCTTTTATTAAAAAAAAAAAAATTATAAAAAGGAGACAGAATTTTATTAGATCAATATGAAAAAAGGAGTATATATAACATAGATAGACTGTAAAGGGAGCCATCCCAATTGCAATATGTCATATATGGGTAAAAAAATTCCCCGATGACCTGAGCCAGCGGAAAATATGAAACAAAGTGGAGAGAATCACTCTCAAAAATAACTTTTATAACCCTTTTCTAATGTCATAGTTTCCCCGAATCTAGTCCAAAGACTTCAAACATATAATTGGCCGCTGACCGGCATGATTCTCCTAAAGAGGCTAAGAACATCCAGAAAACTCAACTAAGTCTTTGAAATTATGAGAAGAAAAAAACACAAACAACTCATAAAGTTTGTGAACTTTATTTAATTTAGTATGTGTCGTGTGTATTTCACTCCCACATAAAATTATGTATTTAATGTAAAACACTAATATTTCCCTTGTAAACCGAATAAATAGTTTTTAAACACATTAAATACATAAATTTATTTGTGGGTGAAATATACGATAATATCCAAGTAAATTAAAGCAAAATGAATGGCTTTATTAACGCAGAAACGACATGGCGCAGAGGAGTTGCACAAGATGACGTTAAAAACGACAAAAACCTGTCACGATGAAATACGCAAATGTTTATATGTAGAGGGTTTGAAAGCCATTTGAGAAACCCCCACAAAACAAACTCACAGTTTCCTTCCAGAGTGAGAAAGAAAGTGAGTGAGTCCACAACTCCTCTGTTCCAACCACAAGCAATTCAACGGTTCCATCCATCCATCCATGGCTCTGGTGCAAGGCAAATGGATCAAGGTCTCTTCCCTACTTCCCTTTCAAGTTTCAAGCTCTGTTTTAGATCATCAGTTTGCTTCTTTTTTTTTAAAAAAGTAACTCAAATTGTGATGAAACCTTGATTTCTACTGTTTCAACAAATGGTTATCCAAATTGTGTGGTGCATGTTCTTCTTTTGGGTACTGCAAATGTGGCTTATGTTATTTATTTACTCAGAGGACCAAAAAAAGGTTTGGCCTCTTGGGTTAAAGATCGGGTCTTTTTTACATCTTGAGATTATATTGGTTTTGCCCATCTTCTTTAAAATCAATGAAAACACTTAAAAATCTCCTGTGTGTGCATCAGTTTTAACAGATTGGATGAAAATTCTGTACTTGGTTTAGATCTAAAGCAGATTATAATATATGTGATCACAATTGGAATATAATTTTGAGAGAGAGAGAGAGGGAGAGTTTTGTAAATGTGGTACAAACAGTTTTTTTCATCTTATTTGCATCCGCAAATCTTGTATTATTGTTTTTCAGCTTGATCAAAAGGGTACTGGGCCTGGAGCAAGAAGCTCACATGCCATTACCCTAGTAGGACAGAAGGGCTATGTTTTTGGTGGCGAATTCACGCCACGTGTCCCCGTTGACAACAAGCTCCACGTGTTCGACCTCAAGGAGCTGACGTGGTCCGTGATCGACGGAACCGGTGATGTCCCGCCACCTCGTGTTGGTGTGACATTGGTAGCTGTTGGACAAATCATCTATGTTTTTGGTGGTAGGGACTATGACCACAACGAGCTCAATGAGCTCTATTCCTTTGACACAACTACAAACAAGTGGACCCTAATTTCTAGTGGGGACATTGGGCCCCCTAATCGGAGCTACCACTCCGTGACTGCCGATGACCGCCATGTGTATATTTTTGGCGGCTGCGGTGTGGCCGGCCGCCTTAATGATCTATGGGCCTACGACGTGGTTGATAAAAAATGGATCCAATACCCAAAACCAGGTGACAATTTGAAGGGGAGAGGCGGGCCTGGCCTGCTAGTGGTCGAAGGGAAAATATGGGTTGTGTATGGCTTTGCTGGAGAGGAAGCTGACGATGTGCACACCTTCGACCCAGCCCAGGGTGAGTGGACCCAAATCGAGACAAATGGCGAGAAACCAACGGCTCGGAGTGTATTTTCTACAGTAGCAATCGGGAAATACATAGTTATATACGGTGGGGAAGTGGACCCTAGTGACTTGGGCCACATGGGTGCTGGGAAATTTGCTGCTGAGGTCTATGCACTGGACACAGAGACATTGGTGTGGAAGAGGTGGGATGATGGGCTGGGCTCTGGCCATCATCCGGGGCCTCGCGGGTGGTGCGCATTTGCCCGCGGGCAGTGGGATGGAGAAGTGGGCCTTTTGGTGTATGGCGGGAACTCACCAACTAATGATCGCCTTGGTGATATTTTCTTCTTCACTCCTTATTTGGAAGCAAATGGCAAATGATTTAGATTAGGGTGAGAGTGGTGATGTTAGCTTAATGTCATGTACTGGAAAATGGAATTATGGGTTTGTAAGTTTCTGTGTGTAATAAGATCCAGACATGACTTTGTGTATGTCAGAATAGGATTTTGTATTTCCTTTTCTATTTTCTTTCTTTTTTGCTTTTGATTTGGTAGACTTCAGAACCCAGATGAATCTTATTAGAATTTGGCCTCACACCATATCAATCTTATTACTGTTTTGTTTTGGAAACAAAAAAGAAATAGGTTAAACATTGGAGGGTCTTCATCTGTTTTGATACTACCAATCTTAATGTGACCAATTTGGTTTTATTAAAGAAAAGGTCTGCACATACTACAGTTGTTATATAAATTATTTTGAAAATAATTATTTGGTCTAGCGACATCAGTGTTTAAGGAAATTGTAAATTTCAGTATCGTTGTTGAATAAACAAAAATTATTACAGTATGTAATTGAGTTCAAGCTAATCCTTATGGGCCCCATTCTTCTAAGACATAACATATTGGATTGTTGTCCATTTTAATAAGTTCAGTCACAACACACCAAACAACGCCCATAACTCTAATTGAAATAGTTCAATCCCACCCACCAAACGTTGAATATGCATACACCTTAATTACCCTTCAACTCAAATTTTAAATGGTATAATATGCAATTTAATTGTAATACACAATACATTTTTTTTACATTAAATTATTTTTTCGAATAAAATGAAGAATTTTTTTGTTTTCAATTTTCCCACAAAGAAGACCACTCCATCACATAAGCAAAACCCCAGCGCACAAACTCAAAACAACCATACCCAATCTCCCACCGTCCAATCCCGCGACTCCATTCTTATCACTATCAGCCGTTTGATCCTCCGAATCATCAGATCCCGGCGCATCAGCAGAATCATCCGGCCCCTCCGCCACCTCCTTCGGCGCAGACGCCGTCTTCACCTTGAACAGCTCCGTCGGCTGCAAGACCTTGTTCACCTTGTAAATCACCAGAGGCTCCTCGTCGATCAACGTCCCCGTTATCTTCGCCGTCACGACCTCCGTCTCCAAACTGACGATCTCGCCGTCATTTTGGACGGTGAAATCGAACTTGTTGGCCTTGTCGGTGGCCAGCGTGTTGACGAGGCCGTTGTTGGACTTGAGCATCTGGAGGGACTGGTACACGGGGATGCCGTGGTAGAGCAGCAACGACACCTTTTGGGATGTCGTTAGGTTTTTGTACTTGGGGAGGAAGCCGTTGATGACGGCGTCCGTCGGGCAAAACACCGTTAGGCCTCCGTCAATGTTGGTCTCGAAGGTCGTGTCGGCTCCCGATGAGATCAGCAAGTCGGCGAAGGCTTTGCAGCCTTGCTTTGATAGGATCGCCGTTAAGTTCAGCTGGCTTGGCCCTGCGGTTGGCGCCTCAGCTTCCGCCGAAGTTAAGACCTGAATCGCAGTCGTTTCATGTGATATTTTTAAACGCAGTCGTTTCATGTCTACTATATACTGTACCTTTGTCTAGTGGCCAAAATGAAGTGTACCAAAGCAAGTTGGAATTCTATATTTCTTAAAATAAAAAAAGAATCAAATTCCCAAGATATGTTGGGAATTTTGGAGGTCTTGTGGGGGAGAATTCATGTCCTTTGCTTAAGTATCTAATAAGAATTTGAGTTGAGAACTTCATAACATACTGAGTATACCACTACACATTATAACACATTATACACATATGTATGTATTCTGTATGTATTCTATCATGTTAGATAGTATTAATTTATCATCTATAAGGTTAGTCCTATCCCAAAATGATCCCAAACTATGTACCTGACTGATTTGCAAGACGGAGATATTGTATGGCATCTCCTGCACAGACTTCACATAGAAGGAATTGAGCTTCCCATCATTGTCTTCAGCTCCGAACCCAACTTTGCCGCCCTTGAGGTTGGTGATGTTCACGTAC